ATTTATGTTTTTATTTATTTATTTATTTATTTATTTAGAGACAGGCTAAACTGTCCAGGCTGGCCTTGAGTTTGCCATCCCCCTGCCTCAACCTCCCAAATCACTGGAATTACTCTAGTGCGCCACCCTGCAGGTTTAATTGGTTTTTATTTTTTTTAGAGATAAGGTCTCCCTGATTTGTCAGGAGCCTAGAACTCCTGGACCCCAGCCCTCCTCCTGCCATAGCCTCCCAAGTGGCTGGGCCTACAGGTGTGGACCACACTTGGCTCCTTATTCATTTGAACAGTTTGTGTAATAGTTTATTTTGTCCATGTGTAAAACATCACTAGCGCATCAAGGGTCAGTGTTATATAAAGGTCTACTAAAAAAAAAAAAAAAAAAGGAAAAGTCACCGCCCCCATCCTTGCTGTGTGTCTTTGTATTGCTCCTTCTTTCCACCTCTTTTTCTTTCACTTCCTATAGGTGAGCACTCTCTTTTAAACTGAGCAGAAATTTACTCTGATATCCCCTTCTTTCTCCCACCAGGAGTATCAAGCTATGGGCATTCTTGTGTACTTTTCCTTTTTTTGCTTAAATGTGTTTCCCAGACTCGACTCTGTTCTGATTCACAGAGAGCTTCCTCAGTCCTTTTGCAACTACATGTTCCCCGACTATGTGAATGTCATTCAACCACTCTCTTTTGCATGGACATTAAGATCACTTCCAATAATTCATGATTCCAAAAAGTGTGCGATGAATAATCCCGGGATGCAACCCTGTCTTAGTTGTTGATTTAAATAAAAAGACAAACAATATCTAAAGATAATATGTCAGCATTTTTTCTAATATAAAACACCTCTGCCCAAACTCTGCCTTTAATAAAAACAGCCACGGTAACATCGTATAAAAATAGAAATTCCAGGATTAAATACTTAGAAACCCGATTGTAAAGTAAAGGGAACTAAGCAAAGCTCTTTCTTTTCAACTTTTCTACAAATCATATAACTTCTTTGAATATAGTCACTTCTTTGCCCAAAATGGAAATGATCAGTGTCCCCCATTTCCATCACTCAGGGTTTCTTAGAAGCTTAAACATATCAGTAATAGGAAATTACTTTATTAGCTCATTAAAGAATAACACACTTGAGAATATTTCATGATTATGAAAGCTCAAGAGATCACATAAGAAGGACACACTTTTTTGTCTTCAACCTTACAATATCCAATCAATATTGTTTTCCACAGTTACTTGGCCTTTTATTCTCCTGAATCCTGGACACATGAGACTAATGATAGGAAAATCTGTATATGTGAGGAGCCCAGCACCCAAATAGTTGTATATATACACAAACTACATCCTTTGTTCTTTGGTATCTTCTATTGTATTCTAATTCATTAAAAAAAAAAAAAAGCAACCATTGGGCCTTGCACTATTACATCAATTTCATAATTTTAATGCTTGATCAAAACTTGCATAATTTTTAATGCTTGTTCAAAACTTTACTATGAGGCCATGCTTCAAAGTCAGACAAATATAAGCTAGAATTTGGGTGGTACTTTTTACCAGTCACCTTCCCTGGAGAAATTTTTGACCTTTGCAAGTCCTTTTCCTCCGGGGTAAAATGGCTCTGGTGTCTATAGAAGAAGACTGCTGTGCTTATTCAGTAAGAGTCTGCAGGAAGCACACATGTGGTAGCTACTAAGTGAGATAAGGAGTGGAGGTGCTGTACTAAGGAATTTAAGCAATCCATAGGCAGACTAAGTTCTGGCTACCCTCTGTGCAGGGAAAGTAAGGAACCAAAAGACACTTAATTTTACTCTTCCTTCTCCTTCTTAAACCCACAATAGAGGCTACACAGGTGTGAATTCAAACAAATCAGGGTTGGATTGTTGTCCTCACCTTTTCTACATGTGGTCATATCCAGCTTTGGCATCTCTTCTGAGGTTTCACAGGCAAGCACAGCAATCCACAAAAATACTCAATAACAGGAAATACTTTTGCCCTGTCAGTCAACTCCAGAGAGCAGCAATGATCTTGAAACTTGATTGAGCATGTGAGTGGCATAAGAAACTTGCTAAATAGTCAGAGATTTATTATATCAGAATCATTTGGAATAAGGCCTTGGAATTTATATTTAAAACACATGGATAAAGATACTTCTGGTCCATATGAAATTTTGAAATCACAGTCTAGTTGGCAGATCAATGAGAAAGTGAATCTTCTGCTATTGCTCCTATTTCATCACATAAAGCTCTCAAATAAATACTTGATTCAATAGTGACAAATCTTCAATGCCTTCTTCATTAGTCAAGTAGTTCATTCATGAGAAAACTCACTGCACCACGAGAAAGAAGCTATGGCGATTTGAAAGATCATGGAGTTTAAGTCTGTCCAAGCTTGAAACAGTGCATATACAGACAATAAAAAAAAGGCATCTGAGAGCACATTTCAACGAATTCTGCAGGTTTCCATCATGTATAGGAGTAGTTTTAGTTGTCATTTTAAAATGGGCATCATCCCATCCTTCTGCCACCAAATGCCACATAGTCACAATCTCTCATCTGTTTTATACCTTTATTCTCTTTCATTTTATTTTTCTCCCTTGTATTTTTAAATTTTACTCATTCATTTATTTACTTATGTATTTAGAAACAGGGTCTATGTTGCCCAGGCTGGCCTCAAACTCATGATCCTCCTGCCTCAGCCTCTTCCAAAGGATGTCTTTGGAAGGTAACAAGTTAGCTTATATAACTTCTTAAAGCTCTGTTTCTGAGATTGAAAATTGAACTTGTCATTCAGTCCCCATGTGTTACTTTCTTTCAAGGATATCTGGGAAGCATTAGGCCATAAACTTGACTAAGATTGAATCCATATATGGTGGGTAGACTAGTCATTCATCAGATATTCAGTAATAACAGGGTCTAGGTTTCTATAACAGTAGAAATAATGATGTTCCAATCTACTCTTCTAGTTTATTTTTCTCTTATGATCAATGCTTGGATTTTAGTTCTAACTAGTATATTACAATTTGATTCAGAAATATATGCCAAAAGAAGTGAGCAAGTTTAAGACAGATTCTTCCAAGTGCAATGCGTCTCCACCTCAGCGACTTTATTGACGTCCTTTGTGTGCTATTTGAAAATTAATCATTTTTCATGCATGTACCCTGGGTGTGTTTTGGACTCTCCCTTGTTTCCCAAATACCCCGAATTCAAGGTATTTCAATACATGGAACAGTTGTCCAGAGGAAGAGAGAAGCAACAGCCCCGCCCCCAACCCTTGGGAGCAGAAAAGAACAGAATTATCCTAAGGAATTATTTTAAAACCCTGGTGCAACGGACAGAAATAAAGCTATGGCTACTTAGATTGATGTCACAGGGGTCCAAAATTTAACCCCAAATGGGCAATAACTTGTTTGGCGTTAAACTAAACCAGTTTGATGAACTCAAATGCCCTCGGCTCAATAGGCAGGACTCTCCGAGGAGCCTGTGTTACTTCCCTCACTTAAGCGCAGATTTGTAATAAAAATCTTAATGCCAGAGGCATGCTTTTTGGATACACAAGAAGCTAACCACTTGAAGAATCATATTTGGGAGGTCAGAAAACTCCACCGTTAAAGATCAGTTTATAATTTAAGAAGAAAATAGAAAGTTTTGTTTCTCCGAGTTGAAATTTGCCGAGCACGGCGGGAAATATTGCTAGTTTTTGGCACAAGGCTTTGTGCTTTCCGCATTATTTGAGATCTGCATGAAGGCTGAGGCTTCGGGGATCATTATCTGAGAAAAATCGGACAATTCCATGTAGATAATTTTGATATTTTTGGCTTTTTTTGAGGTGTAACAAACACAACTCCGGATCCGAGAGGACACTCTGCGGCTGCCAGCGAGGCGGGCTGGACAGCGCACCAATCACGGCGCAGCTCCGCCCTATATAAACGGGCGGGCGCAGCGCCGCGGCCCGAGTCCCGGCCAGTGCCTCTGCTTCCGGCTCGAATTGCTCTTCCTACGCCCGCCTTCAACATGTCCGAGACTGCGCCCGCCGCGCCCGCCGCTCCGGCCCCCGCCGAGAAGACGCCGGTGAAGAAGAAGGCCCGCAAGTCCGCAGGCGCTGCCAAGCGCAAGGCGTCCGGGCCCCCGGTGTCCGAGCTCATCACCAAGGCCGTGGCCGCCTCCAAGGAGCGCAGCGGCGTGTCCCTGGCCGCGCTCAAGAAGGCGCTGGCGGCCGCCGGCTACGACGTGGAGAAGAACAACAGCCGCATCAAGCTGGGCCTCAAGAGCCTGGTGAGCAAGGGCACCCTGGTGCAGACCAAGGGCACCGGCGCCTCCGGCTCCTTCAAGCTCAACAAGAAGGCGGCCTCCGGGGAAGCCAAGCCCAAGGCCAAGAAGGCAGGGGCGGCCAAGGCTAAGAAGCCCGCCGGAGCTGCCAAAAAGCCCAAGAAGGCTACAGGCACGACTACCCCCAAGAAGACCGCCAAGAAGACCCCAAAGAAGGCGAAGAAGCCGGCTGCGGCTGCAGGAGCCAAAAAAGCAAAGAGCCCCAAGAAGGCGAAAGCGGCCAAGCCGAAGAAGGCGCCCAAGAGCCCGGCGAAGGCCAAGGCGGTGAAGCCCAAAGCGGCTAAACCAAAGACCGCCAAGCCCAAGGCAGCCAAGCCAAAGAAGGCGGCAGCCAAGAAGAAATAGGAAGTTTCTTCGGGCAACTGCTGAGAACCTCGATACAACCCAAAGGCTCTTTTCAGAGCCACCCACAGATCTCAGTAAAAGAGCTGTTGCACATTTGGGGGCGTGGTCAGGGTGGGACCCCGCTGAGAAGGCGGGGCTCCAGGAGGAAGGCCGAGAGGGAGGTGGGTTTCTCGTGAGGCTCTTCTTGCTTAATAAGTAGGTGGAGGCTTTAGGGTTTGGGGACTTAGGGAGAAAGAGCTTAGAAGGTCTCGGTGCCTTCGAAGGGTGGCACCGTGGGGTCGAGCTGATGGCTGGAGGAAGTGCGGGCTATCCGCAGTTGAGCACAACGCTGAGGTTGCCAATGTTGAACCTGCGTGAGGGCTGCGGGCAAATATGTGCGTGCCTAACTCATTTGTTGTCGTCTTTCCAGACTCCTGGGCGACTTAGAAAATTGACTTGCCCACAAGCTTAACGTGACTGTGACCAAGAAAAGTTCTCTGCTCCGAGAAATACGAACGATTGTGCTGGAAGAGACCTATTTATAGTAGCTTTGGGTATCCAGTTTGGGCTTTCTGATTGGGTAAAAGTGAAGTAACGCAATAGCCAATGGAACGGAAGAATTTCAGTGTCGTTAACATTCGCATTTGTGACGACACACTAAAATTAATCCAATCGTAGAGGAAAATTATTAACCTCATTTGAATACCGCATCTATAAATGCATGTAACCTAGTGAGGGGTGATTATTTTCCCAGGTATTTGCATCAGTCTTCTGGTTTTTGCTTTTTGAACGCTGTAATGCCTGAGCCTACGAAGTCTGCTCCTGCCCCGAAGAAGGGCTCCAAGAAGGCGGTGACCAAGGCGCAGAAGAAGGACGGCAAGAAGCGCAAGCGCAGCCGCAAGGAGAGCTACTCCGTCTACGTGTACAAGGTGCTCAAGCAGGTGCACCCCGACACCGGCATCTCGTCCAAGGCCATGGGCATCATGAACTCGTTCGTGAACGACATCTTCGAGCGCATCGCGGGCGAGGCCTCGCGCCTGGCGCACTACAACAAGCGCTCGACCATCACGTCCCGGGAGATCCAGACTGCCGTGCGCCTGCTGCTGCCCGGGGAGCTGGCCAAGCACGCCGTGTCTGAGGGCACCAAGGCGGTCACCAAGTACACCAGCTCCAAGTGAACTTGCCAAGTAAGCGTTTTTACACCTAATCCCAAAGGCTCTTTTAAGAGCCACGCATGATTTTCACAAATGAGTTGTAATTCTTAAAGTCCAAACAATTATTGCATTTTTCGTACTAGATTGAAAGCTAGTTTACTGATCTTTAATGTTACATCACTGCTGCTGCATAGGAAATGCGAGGAGTAACAGTGGGTACTAGAAATTAAGTACTCTGTGCACGTACAGGTTCAGTATAGTTAACAATCACATAGCTGTACACTAATAAGAACGGAAAGTCACACTAAATGTGCAGCTCTCCGTTTCGGTGCAAAGTTCTCCAATTTGACCATGAAGTGATCCAGGACTCGGTGATGACTGCTTGCTGCCCGGACCACAGAAGAATATGCTCTGAGGACCTCCTCCTGCTCAGAGCATACCTCCTCTCCATTTTTCTTAAAACCTTTCCATCTAGATAACCTGACTCTGAAAAAGGCCTGATTACTTGAGTAGTCAAGTAATCTTACAATACGGAGGTTTCTGGGGAGTGCTGGAGCAAGAAGGGGATCTTCTCTCCAAAAGGTGCACAGGGAGATCAAAAGAGAAAGTCACTGAAACACTTTTAAGTTGTCAGTACTATACCTTCACAGAAAATCACTTAGTTTGCCTTTTGACAGCAGTTTAAAAGGCCTCTGGATGACAGGGGAATCCCCACAGTCAACCTGATAGGTGCCTTACTGCTGACGGGCAAAAGTAACTTTCAGTATGGTTCACACTTTCCTGGGTGTCCCCAAGTGTCAGGAAAGTGGAGATGCAAGGGAACAGGGAGTATGAGATGGGTGAGGTGAGCTTGGAGTCAAGAGCCTTCTGGGATAGAGAATTTAGGAGAATGGTATTGGCAGAGGGAAGTATGAACCTAGAAACTAATGTCCTCACACCCTCATAAACAAATATGTATTTATCAATATTTGGGATAGATTTTGTATTATATGGCAAGCTTAGTACTTGGATGAATATTGAAAATCTTTAAAAAATATATTTTTTAAAAAGCAATGAAAATTAGCTATGAAAGTAACAAACTCGGACCCAGGGACATAGCCCTAGTGAAACCCTGAGCAGGGTTTTCACACAAACCTGGGCTTTGCTTTTTTTTTTCCTTTTGGTACCAGGGATCAAATTCAGGGGCACTCAACCACTGAGTTACATCCCCAGCCATATTTTGTATTTTATTTAGAAACTGGCTCTCACTGAATTGCTTGGCACCTTACCATGGCAGAGGCTGGCTTTGAACTAACAATTCTGCCTCAGCCTTCTGAGCCTCTGGGATTATAGGCTTGACCACTGCACCCAGCTGGGCTTTGCTTTTTAAGATGATGTATGGAGCTTAATCATGGTGTGGAGTCTTGTAAGAAATCACCTAGGAAACAGACACCAAACAAAAGCCTAGCTCATCTAATAACAATAACAGGAGTTAATACCACAGCCTGGAGACATATTATCAGTAAAGAAAATGATCAACCATCAGGTGTCCTTGAGAGAGTCTTTGCTCCAATTCCCAGGTTTGGAGTTTGTTTGTTTTTTTTTTTTTTTTTATTATTTTTTCAGGCAGTGACATTCTTCAGGGCAGTGAAGGACAGAGCTTAGCCTGTGATCACAAAAATGTTAGTCTTATTTCCCAGGCTGTTAGAGCAAGGGAAGAAGAAAAGGAGGGGAAAAGTCTTAAAATCGGCCACCTGGACCGTTTATACTGAAAGCATCAAGTGGACCCCATTATGCTCAGGTAGGAAAAGGAATGGAAACGTTCACTGTCAAATGTACATAAGCCCACTATAGACCACTGCAAGGTGGAAAGTCAGCTCCAGACTCCACACTCAGCAGAATCCATCCTCCCACCAAGGCAGGTCATCCCAGCCTTGCCAGCTTATTCTCAGCATGCCCACCAGGTAGTCAATGGAGCTGGACTGAGAATTTAAATTGGGGACAGAATAGCTAGGCTGGTTTTATGCTCCTGAGCATGTGGTAGAGAAAATACAAATCATCTTTGGAGGAACAAGATTAATTTTAATCCTCAACAAATTCCCACGGGGGGAGGGGGGAGAGTAAAAGGTGAAATAAGCAGAAACTTTCATATATTAAAAAAACAAAAAAAGCTTTAATGTCTTTTAAAAAAGATTTCAAACATGTAAGGAATTTTTAAAAAATACAAAGATAACAGAATTGAAAAAAGAACCAAATAGGAATTTTAGAAAATAAATTAACAAATATACAATTAGTTAGAATTAAAACTAAAAGTTTAATGGATGGGTTTAAAAGCTCATTGAACCCAACGAAAGGAATTTAATGAACTATGTATCAAGGTTATATAAAGTTATCTAAAGTAATTATCCAGAGTGCATAGAGAAAAATGTAAAAGTAATTTTTAAAAAAATCTATATTTAGTAACAAAATGATCTGACATGCTTGTAATTTATGTATAACTGATCATGTTTGAAAAGCAAATATAAATTATTGTTATGTAATCATAATACTGTAGTATCAGAATGATACAGATGTAAGATTTAAAAGATCATGACAATTCTAGAATTGATGGATTCGATTATAATTAAAAATAAATGAAATGAAAAATATTATAACAAAAAAGAGGTCACTGTGATCTGTAAATTAAACTTTTAAATCCTTAACAACAAATACAATATTGATGTTCTTAAGTGTCTTCTGTTCCGTACTGACAGATGGCATCAAACTAAAGCTTGTTTGAAATTCTGCATGTAAGATTATTAAGCAATGGGTTATTTGTGTATTTTCTATCTAGCTAACTTTACCAAATTCTGCTAATTTCAATCAATATTTAATGAAATGCTTTTTATTTCATTTGATATTGAGAGCAAATAAAACTATTTAGTATTCTTTCCAGTAACTATTTTGTTAGTTGCTTTTATCCTATGTCAACTACAGTCAAAAACAATATTAAAAAAAAAAAAAAAAAGCCACATTAGAAACATTAAGAGTCCTCTTTTTCCTCCTTCTTGTAGAATTGGCTTTTAATAGTTCATAATTTATGTTTTTCTACATATGTATCGTATTTTATTGTGTTGATGTAGTTTTCCTTCCAACTCCATTAAACCTTTTGTTAGGAATGATTTATGCCATCATTTTTTGGCATCTGATGAAATAATGTTTTTCCTCCTCCAAACATTACAGGTAGATATGCCAGTGTTGATCCCTACTTGCATTTGTAGGCCAAGTCTTATTTGTTCATGTTGTATTATCTTAAATATGGGCAAGATAAATTCTGTTAACACTTGACATGGATTTTTTTTCCCCATTTCTATGAACACATAAAAACATCCTGATTTTTCATTTCTGGGTTTATCTTCATCTTTTTCATTAGAATCATGACATGTCTATGAACTTGTGGGGCTCTCCTTCTATTAGCATGTTGCTATGTTAACAAATCATCCCAAAACTGAGCAGCTTAAATCAATGAACATTTAACATTTACTATCTCTTAGTTTCTGTGGGTCAAAAACTGAATACCTAGTTATGGCTCAGGTTCTCACCTGAGCTTAAAGTCTACATGTAAGCTTAGGACAGTGGTCATTCAAAGCCTTGATGGCATGCCAGAATGTTGGGCAAGTTTCAGATGGTTGTTACTCAAAAGCTCTGTTCTTTGCCACACAACCTCTCCAGAAAGCTTAGTATGTATGCCTATCTTTAAAGCTTGGCAGATGTTATCCCTCAAAAATAGAAAAATAATCAACAAGTCTTTTGTAACCAAGTTTCAAAAGTCATACACTATGATTCTGCAACATTCTATTCATTGTAAGCAAGTCACAAAAACTAATGCTTACTCAGAAGGGAAATTATGTTCCACTTTTTTAAGGTAAGGGTAGAAAAAGATCTGGTTGACATATTTTAAAACCACATCATCATTTTATGGTTGAAGTACAGAAATTGTAAAAGTATTTGTGCTTTAATGACCAGATAGAAATCAGCTGTAATGTCACCTGGACCTGATATCTTTATCAGGTCTTTATTACCTTTTAAGAATTACTACTTAGGCTGCTGTTGACCACCGTCCACAAAGGCCAATAAGATCCCCAGATGTTTTTCTTGATGGGACATTTCCCTGAGACTGTAGATGATAAAATGCCTTTGTATTTACTATAAATATTAGCCCAGCATGTTGCAGGAACTTTAAAAAAAAGTATTAAATATTTTGAATTAATCCATATGCAAAATCCCAAACTTCAATCTGTAAATCAAATATCTGGTGTGTGATTGTTTTTAGAATGTTCAACAAATAGGTTTGAACTTTTCTAAGAAGAAAAACTTTTGAAAAAAAAAAAAAAAACTCTATTTTTTGGAAAATGAAAAAAAAAGGAAAAAGCTTAATAAATTTAAAATTTTGAAAAAAAAATTAATAATTGTTTAATATATAGATTTTTGGTAATTTTTTTTAACATATTTTTTTTTTTTTTTTTTTTTTTTCTTTCTTTCTTTTTTTTTTTTTGTGGGGACTACTAGAGATTGAATTCGGGGGCACTCAACCACTGTGCCACATCCCCAGCCCTATGTTGTATTTTATTTACAGACAGGGTCTCACTGAGTTGCTTAGCGCCTTTCCATTGCTAAGGCTGACTTTGAACTCACAATCCTCCTGTTTCAGCCTCCAGAGCCACTGGGATTATGGGCCTATGCCACCACGCCAGGCAAAGACTGATTTTTTTTTTTTTTTTAAGTTCAATATGTAAGAACAGATTAATAAGAGTTTGAGAAAGGCAAAAGGAAGGGAAAAAAGCAAAAATAGATCTTAGTCATAAAGAATTATAAAGATTCTTGATGTGTGTCCAAATTTCCTGGCAAACTGTAGTATAACAGTTTTTCACAGAGTGTTTACTTATAAAATCAGTTTACTTGAGAGGAGACTCATTGAAATGTCTTTGGGCACAACACCAGCCTTAGCACAAGAGATAGAGATAAGGTGGTCTTTGACTTCCAAAGTCTTCAAAAAGACTTACAGATCACTACTTCCATCTTCCTTTGTCCTAAAAAAAAAAAAAAAAAAAAAAAAAATCTCATATTTGGAAATCTACAGGAAGTGAATGAATTTGGGCTCCCATTAGGATTGCCAAACTCATTAAAGTATTCATCTCAACTTTTGACAAAATCTAGCACTATTAACATCCTTATGCCACACTGCAAAGTTAAAACAATCCAAACTACCCTTATATCTAACACCAAATCCAATGCTCAGGGGTGTCTAAAACCATCCTTAGATTTGATAAATCATTAGAGGACTCAGTAAAAGCTATTATACTCAATATTACATATATTACAGCAAAAGGACAGAGACTAAAATCAGAAAAGCAACAAAGAGCAAAATGTAAGATGTTCCAAATGCATTACCAACACAAGGACTAACAACTAGGAAAACCTAGTATAAGCCTTGGTTTGACATATGGCCTTGATCATATCAACATGACTAATACCCTGATTGACCTTAGTCTCCATTCCTCATAGATCAGGCAGATGTACCAAGGTTCAAAGCCTCAACCCTAAATAAGATCTCTGATCTGGACAAGTAAGGCCCAAAGCCTCAACCCTAAATAAGATATTTGAACTACAAGGTCTATCTAGCTGAGTGCCCCAGGCAATATAAATACTTTTAGCTAATGGGCCTGACATTCCTAGAGATCACCTAGTAGCCTAGGACAAAGGCCACACCACTCTTCTGGTGGTGTTATTTCCTTACTACACATTACTACCCTTTTCTTTACATAAGCAACAGTAACTTGAGTTATGAGAAAAATTATGCTTTTAAAGCAAACATTTTAATTAGATATATATAATTAGCCATAACTTGAGTTCCACAAGTATTTAATTTTTCTGATTATTTTGTAACATTGTTTTACATATTTAGATCAATTGTAGACCCAGAAATTATAAGATTTCTCAGTGAAGAATGTTTTGTACTTCATGCAGGTGAACACCCTTAGCAGTATCCTGCTTGATTTATACACCCCAACTCCCCCCTATGGATGCTTACTAAAGAAATGAATATTCAGGAATAGAGATCAACTTTGGGTAAAGCTTGGAGTTTTTGAACTTCATTCTGGTAGCATGAGCATTCGCTACTAAATAGAAAAAGGAAAACGAAAACAACTTTTTTTCACCTGAGCAGTAGTAACTTCAGTAGTTTTTTTCTCCCATAAACCATGAAATTTGCTACATGGATAGGGAATAAAAATTGTAGAAAAAGAGAGACTGTTTCAAAATTTGTTTAAAAGTTTGACATTTTTTCGGTATAATTTATATATATCAAACAGTATTTTATAAATATCCAGCCCACTATTTTTCAGGAAAGAAGGAATATGGGGAGAAAAAGAAACGTGGCAGAAATTAAGGACTCAGAAAAAAAGAACGGAAAAAGCAAACCAACCATAAAAGGGTGGGAAAGAGATAAGAAATCCAAAGAAAAGCCTAAGGCAGAATGTGGAAGGAGAAAGGCAGAGAGAAAAAAGTGACCTGTGTTGGTAAATCTTGTCATATAGTTGGTGTCTCTGCTGGGAATAATACCTATCATGTAAGAACTGAACTACTCCCCACATTTCTTGGGTTTAGGGTTGAGAGAATTCATTAAAATGGCACCACATCTGGGAGGCTTTCTCTAACCATCAGATGTAAACTGGCACCTTTATATCTCCATCCTTAACCTTCCCTATTCATTATTTCTCTATTTTCCCTACTCATTATAGTTAGCTAACACAAATTTATTGATTTATTGTTTGCCTCACACTTCTCTTTTCAAGATTGCAAGATCCATAAGGGTAGGAACTTCATCATGTTTAAGGTTCATACAACAGACTCTCAAAAAGTATCTCCAAGTTGACATAATAAATTGTGATTGAAGTGTACATAGGTATGTAACAACAGGGATAGAGGATAAAGTTGAATTGTCACAGTGATTCAATTGAATGAGTGACACAGTAAAGGGTCTCACTTTTCTGATGTCTACAAAAAAGATAAGTGTAGACCACTTCTAAGAGTTATCTTAAGGATGAATTGAGATAAAATAATAAGGTTTTTAAAACAGTGGTGGGCATTTAGTAAGCCCTTTGCAATTGTTAGCAATTATTTTACTTTTCTTAGTTAAAATGAAAATCAAAGTGGCCAAATCATTTCGGAAACTAAAGGTGAGAATTATTAGCTTTTGAACTATTAGATTCCTCCCCAAGAAGAGTGGTTGAGGGATTTTAAGCTAAAACCCTATTATTCAGGGATTTCTCTTGAAAAAAACATGATTTGAGCTATTATTTGTTGATGCTAATAATTATTAAGCAGGTAACTTTGGAATAGGAATTCCTGATAGAACATTATGCAAGCATATGTTAAAAAAAAACAAAAACCTTTTCTTTAAATAGCAAATATTAATGCTGATGGCAAAATGACAACTAACAAATACAACCTTTTATTTCTTCAGTCAGGGGAGACATAAGAATGCACAGAAGAAACGAATGCATAAAGTAACCGAAAACATGAATCTGTCCATAGAAGATATGAAGTATGACAAGTTTGATCTGATTGAGAATGACTGACTTCTGTGTATACCCCACCCAGATCCAACCCATCCTGGTTTAGCACTCAATAAATCATCAAAAGGAGATCATTTCCTAAGCGGAAGAGACTAACCAAGACGTTTTAGATTCTCATTTTACTTTTTCGTTTGATTTCTAAAAACAATTCACTTCTGTTACACACTCAATTATTAGTAATTCACCATCACGGACTATATTTGCTGAAAGTCAGAGGATGACAGATAGTCTGTAAAACAAACAAGAAAACCTGTAGAGAATAGGAATTCTGCATTTGCTCATTCAAATATTTCTCCAAAAATCTCCTTTCTGCACATCTATCTAGCTATTATCCATCTTCCAGCATCAAGGTAGTAGTAGGCCTTAGGCACTGTTTGGGCTTTGGTGATGACTCTGAAGGTAAACAGCTTAGTTTCGCTAAGCTGCCACTAGAGAGCTCACATCTGTACCTGATAGGAACAATACTTTAAAGCAGTGTAAAACGTGAATGTTTACCAAAATAACTTGAAAGATCTACAAACATTGCGGGGCGCCACCACGCTCCTAATTGTCAGTTCTGAAGTTACACTTGAAAGTACTTCTAAATTATCCAGGTGACACTGCTGCTGCTGGTCCGGGGACCACACACGGATAACTTTGTTTTAAAGGTCACGGCCAGCAAAACGCAGACCCGCCTCTCCTTCCAAGCTGGATCAGTCCTATCCTACGGCCGGCTCGCCACGCCCCCCACGCGGGTTCCGTTGTACGCGGGCTCGCCACGCCCCTCACGCCGGTTCTGTCGTGGGGCAGTCTCACCACGCCCCCCACGCCGGTTCCGTCTTACGGCTGGCTCGCCACGCCCCTCACGCAGGTTCCGTCTTACGGCCGGCTCGCCACGCCCCTCACGCCGGTTCTGTCGTAAGGCCGGCTCGCCACGCCCCTCACGTCCCGGCGACAGATCGCCATTACCCTTGCGCGTCATCACGCAGGCCAGTTGCCCTCGCTCCCACTCGCTTTAGTCTACTGGTGGTGGGTCATGTCTCCGGTCTTCATCTAAGTCTCCCGAGAGTCTGGCCCTCCGTCGTCTGGATTGGCAGATAAAACCTCACGGAGACATCTGAAGATGGAGGAGTATGGCTAAGCCGCTCCTCTGCGCGGCTGAGACTGCGAGGACGCCTTGCCGGCCGCAGCCCCCTGCGGGAGGACTGCGTGCGCCGACGGTTTTCCCCCGGTGAATAGCTGTGGCCTTCTGACACTTACGACATCGCTAAACAAAGTGCCTGGGGCCCACAGTACTTTTAGAAGCGCACGAAAACATTGATTTATTTTAAAATCAGAACAACAATAAGATCTTAGGTAGAAGAAAACATTCGAATAAATAACATTCAAATATAATCCTTTTTTTTAGATAAAATTGTTATTTTAATAGAAGGGGCCCAAGAAGGCAAAAGTGCCCAGGGCCCAAGAATATAATGCAGCCGCGGATGTACAGAGCAGACAACTCTTACAAATTGCTTTTGTTTTTATACTTTTTTAAAAAACTAACACCTAGACACAGTTCAGTTGCTTTCCATGTGTTTATTTCTCACAACACACATGTGCACTGTTATCCCAGTTTTACTCACGAGTATACCAAGTGAAGCTTAAAATAACTTGCCAATGTCGTACAGTTAAATGACAGGGCAATCTGACCCAGTCAGGTTGTCTCCAGAGGTGTCAATTTTTAACCATTGAAAACAGGCATTATCTCATATCTACAGCATTGATTTAGCAACAGGACAAAAAAACAAAAATATTCGCAAGACAGTGAGATTTCCAGTTTTCTCTCTGCCTCTCCCTCTTCCCTCAGTAGTAGGGTTCACAGGTGTTCCTTTCTCCATATGGCAGGTACACACACACCACTCGTCTATCTCTTCATCTTAAGGAATGCTTGTCTTCTAGCTCATTGGCACACCATATACGTGAAAGAAACCCTCCTTTTCCACACTGACGGTACTCACCTACTTGAGGAATCAACCAGATAACCTTTTGCTAACTGTGTGACCTAAGCTTAGGATATTTTAACATTCATACCCCTGGCGTATTTCCAAATATGCAGAAACCAAGACTCAACTATCTATACACAATTAGAAAATGTCAGTAAAAAGGCTTCCAGAAAACAAACAAAAAAAGAAATGCCTGACTGTTCTTTCTATATCTGGACCAAGGCCATATGGTTTAATTACCGTAAGTATATATGTGTTCACATGAACTAAGAACTGCCTCTCTTCCTTACTTTTTTGCCAAATGCTTTATCAAATACCCATAGAGTATTTTGACATAACATGCAATGTTTAGATTATTTTAGAGTGTATGAACATGTTAGCAGTTGAGTTCTCAAAAAACATAAACATAGTTAAGTATATCTGTTCCTGTAAGTGGATTCCTTGGTACACTTCAGTAAACTTTAAGTTTTATTTACATATGTCTGAAATATTTATTATTTTATTTTGAATCTTTAGCACTGTTTTGAATGATGTCTGACTTTTCTATTTTAATTACAGATAGGTTATTGCTAACATGTAGAAAGACATTATATAAGTTTTTAAATGGTACTCTCATACCCATCAACTCTGTTGTTTTTATTAGTTTTAATTCTTTATAGATTCTTATGGACTCTTTCATTGACAATTACATTATTTTCAGAAACAAAGATAATTGTCTTATTGAATTCTTACTGTTCTATTTTCCTGCCCTATGTCATGATATTAGCCATACTCCACAGTGTTATGTTCAGTAGGAGTAGTGCCACTGTCCTCTTCTCTTGGCACTTTAAAAATACTCCCAAACTTGCACAAGTATTATGGTCGCTTGGGATTACAAGCATGCGCTGCCGTCTACTCTTTATGAAGTCATTCCAGGCTGTTGAAAATGTTCATGATGAATAAATGTCATATTTTAGCAAATGCTTCCTCAGCATTTATGGAGCTGACCATAGTTTTTCCTCTATTCTCCTCCATCAGCAGATTTATCATGCTAAACTTTATTTTATTCTTGAAATAAACCCTATATTTTGTGCTATTTTTTAAAAGTAATATGGCCTATTTTCCATTTTCTATGTTTTAAATAGTTTTTTTTTTTGAGAGAATTTTTTTAATATTTATTTTTTAGTTTTCAGGGGACACATCTTTATTTTTTTCACTTTTTTTTTTTAAATATGGTGCCTCTGAGGATTGAACCCAGTGCCCCGCACATGGGAGAGCATTACCACTTGAGCCACAACCCCAACCCTTAAATAGTTCTTTTTTTAGATAAATACATGAGAATGAGACTAGAATTTTGTTTCTTGTCATTTTGTTTCCTTCATATTTTCTTTCTTTAGTTTCTTGCCGCAGTCCGGCTGCAGCAAAATAACCGGGGGTGGGGGGGTGTGTGGGGGGGTGACGTACAATTTGTGTACATTGATACAGCAGGAGTGGGATCCCTTTATTGTAGAACAACAGAGGGATATTTATACATTCCACACAGCTTATCTTAATTAGCATAAACTAGATACAGCAGTCAACCAATAAGAAATCTCCACACTTAATGGCTCCTGGCAATACTTCACAAACCACTCCCTCCGGCATTTTGCCAGGCGCCATCTTGACTTGTTTACAGACCCTAACATTTCTCTAGCAAAATGCCAGGTGCCATCCTGACTTGTTTACAGACTCTAACATTTCCCCCTTTTGTTTAATTTAAATAACGACCATAGTGGTTTTTACACAAACACCATAAATAATCTGCTACAAGCAGAAGGGGAGGATACAAAATGCCACAGTACCAAGCCAATTGATGGCTCCATGCAAGAAGCCCTTGGAAAAATTATACCAGCAATGACACCGTTAGCAAAGATACCCAGTTACAATTTGTTGTAGATTACAATTTGTTGTCTCAGTCCAGGTAAAGCAGTGTCTCAATAGATTAACTCACAGTCCAGGTAAATCACAGTCCAGGTAAGTTCTGCAGGCAGCTAGCTTAATCCGAAGTCTCCTCCGGTTCTCAGCAACACTGGAAATTCTTCCACCTTGGTCTTGCCCGGCACTGGGACGAAGGCAGGAACTCCGGATGGCTAAAGAAAATCCTGTAGCATTCTACTAAGAAAACAACCTTCTGAACAATTTAGTACATTATCTCAAGGTTTTTTACATTTGAAATAAGCATTAATAGTGCGCATTACTCATTAGCTTCCAGTGTGGGAGAACCACTGTAGTTACTGGCCTTGGAAACATCAAACTTCAGGGACGCCATGTGCGTCCTCCGCCCAGCTGTAGCATCCTGGGCAGCCCCAGATGACCCTGGGGAGAGTTCCGGTCTCAAACTGCTTCCCGGCACAGGGAGCAAGAGGCTGCAAGACTGTGCCTGGATTTGGGCTCTCGAAGTGGCGTCCTGCTCCCCGGATGGGGGTTGGGGAAGAGCCGGTTGCTGCTGCTTGGAAAGTCCTTGCTGCTCCATGACCGGCTCGCGCACGTGGCAGCCGCTGCACCGCTTCACGCACCCTCCAATAACGAAAAGTATTTAGTAATAGCCTTTTGCAATTTCTTTCTTGATAATCCTTCCTCCTCTGAACTTTCTTTTTCTTTCTGACTAGAGTTCCTGGGCTTCTATCAACACATGCCCTAACTATTCTTGGTTCCACTGGGGTGCCTTCTTCCCTTAGTAATTTACTTCTCACCCCTTCCATATTTTCGTCACAAAGACAATACAACATTTCAAGACAAAACAAGACACAAACATACTGTATCAATCTTCTCCATCTTCTCAAAATGGCCATTTTTCCTCTCGCCCTATCTGCCTAGGGACAAGCAGATTTGCTCCCGTCCTATCTATGGACGGGCAGCTTTTTTTTTCTTTTTGGTCACTTACCCCCGAGTGTCCCGGGGCTCCCCGTACGGGCCACCATCTGCCGGAGTACAGCTGTAGCAAAATAACCGGGGGGTGACAAATAACTTGTATAGATCCATACAGCAGGAGTGGG